AAGGAAAAATAATCTCACAGTAAAAGTGAAAAGAGTTAAATTCAGCGAAAAGTAAATTTTCACACAACTTTCAACAGCCATGAGTAACACTCATGGAAAGATCTTTATTAGAGAGCAGCATGTTATCAGAAATTGCCATATTGTCCTGTGCAATGTCTTATGTTTAAACTTAATGACTTCAGCTGCGTTTACCTGCCGTGATTCCTTTGGGCCAGAAGCAGACCAGCCACAAACACTTTTAGGCTCTGACATTGTTTACTTCTTCACTGCCGTGTTCTTTACAAATTCCCATAAAAACACAGATAACCTTAGGGGTGAGTGATCCCTAATCCCTGACTCCGGACACAGGCACTCCAGCTGGGAATTAACGAGCAATTGACAGGGCACCGCTAAGACTCCCTTGCCACAACAACAGCCCACACCATGTGTGTATTTACCCACAATGTATCATAACAACCCGACCGCTGCTGCTGACAGGCTGCTGGAAACGCGCATCAGAGGCAAGGCAGAAACAAGCTGTGCACAGCCTTGTAACAGTAACACTCCTCACTTCATCACAGAGACTTGCTCCACAATAGTTAGATCAAAACCCACGGTTTTTTTTTTCCTCATCATAATTTTCTTCTCACAAAAAAGTTTAATCTGAGGTAAAAGTACATTTTTCCTCATTCACTCACAGTCAGATAGGCCCTAATGTTCATGTTGAAATGCAATGGGAACACAGAATTCAGTGCAGCTGTAAATGTTTAAAATAAAATCTGTAATGGAAACTTATTATTGACTATCTTCCCAGAAAAAAAGTTTGCAAAATGCTTCTGACTCAAATTATTTACATTAAAAAATTAAGAGACTGCATTATATTAGATTTTAGTTTGTGAACATCTTGTTTTGAAATCATACAGCAATCTCTGACTTCCATGCAGTCAATCCATGAGACGTATAACATAGAAAAAAAATCAGGCATCAAAGGAAAAAATCCCAACCCAGGAAATAATAATTAAAATAGTATTAAAAAATCTTTTAAAATACTGAGCTACTTTTATCATTTCCCAATGCTTAGCACATTAACACAAGAAACAGGGAGGAGGCACCATAAACACCAGATTGAAATATACCCACCCCTAGCTGAAAGCTTTTTGGTGTTGATAATTTTGGCAGCGTACTCTTGTCCTGTGGTGATTTTCATACACCTCCTCACGACGGAGAACGCCCCTCTGGAAACCAAAACCGGGCAAAGTGTCAGTCCAACTGAAACGCTCCACTGCCATTACCAGCTAACGGGCAGCACGGAGGGCTGTGATGTCGGCAAAATTAAAAAATTAAAAAAAAGGATTTTCGGATTTTCTGATTTTCTGACAGGGACGGTCAGCATTGATTTTATTCAGCTGAGCAGCGAACTCCGCGGGGTAGAAGCCGTGTGACCAATCCCGCTAGCTGGGGCGGAGGGCGGGCGGGTTCTCGCTGTGTCCATGCCGGCACACACGGGGGGACACGGGGCGGCGGTGGCCGTGTCCCCCTCAGCGGGGACACGGGCTGGGGGCGACACCCAACATGGCGCTCAGGGCTGCGCCCCCCGCCCCGCCGCTGGGGGGCGCCCGCCGCGCTCCGACACCCCTCACGAACCGAGACCCCCACCCCGCGGCTACCCAAGAGCTAAAAATAACTATTAAAAATACATTACAACAAATAGCGGCACGGGGGGTTGGGGGCAGCTCCCCGCCTCCCGCACACAGCCCCTTGGCCGCCCCGGGGTCGTATGGCTGGAGCGCGGGCGCTCCCGCGGCAATAAGGGGGCCCCGGGCGCGGCTCCTCCCAAGGCTCACACGCCGACCCCCGCAGCCCTCGGCGCCTTCACCCTCCGCTCGGTCCTTACTTTCCGAGCTCCTCGAAGAGCTGGTACTCGTCGGTGAAGCGTGTGCAGGTGGTCGAGGCCATCATGAGGACGGGCGGCCGCCGGTGAGTCCGGCGGCCGGCGAGGCGAGGACGGCGGAGGGGCTGTGAGGCGAGGCGAGGTGAGGCGAGGCTCCGCGCCGGCTCCTTCCCCTCCTCTTCCCCGCCACCGCCTCCTCTGGTGACGGCGTTGCCTCCGTGCCCTCCTCCGGTCTTCCCTCTCCCCTCCCCTCACCCTTTAGGGAAGCAAACAAACAAATATTTAAATAAATAAGTAAGTAAGTAAATAAATAAATAAATACGTATCCTGCTCGCTCCCTCGCGCTCGCCACGGGAAACGAGCGGCAAAAGGGAAAGCAAAACCGGGGCGGGGGGCGCGGCGCTCCCTCCCCTCCTGCTCCCCGGCGCCTCAGCCCGTCCGCCGGTGCCGTGCCTCCCCCTAGCGACCCCGACCCGCGACTCCCTGCCGTCGGGGACGGCGCGGCACCGGCGGGAGACTCACAGGGGCGGTCGGAGCACGGGAAGAACCCGCGCTCCGCGCTGCCGAGAGCGAACACCGCGCTCTCCCCGGGCGCTGCCCCGCGGCGGCGGCGGGAGGCGCCCTGAGAGGAGCGGATGCACCTGCGCGCGCCCCCCTCACCCCCGCCCCGCTCCTCGGTGGCCGCCTGTGACGTCACGCTTCGCCCGAGCGCGAGGGAGGGCGCGCGGCGGGAAGCGCGTGCGGGCGCGCTCGCGGGGCAAGGGGCCGTGACGTCGCGGGGGCCCCCCGCCGCGCGCGGGGAGGGAGGGGAGCGGGAAGAGAAAGGGGCGCACTGCACCGGGCGCCTCGTGACGTCACAGCGGCTCCGGCCGCGCGCGGGGCAGGGCGGGGGGGACACACAACCCGGGCACCTCGTGACGTCACGGCCGCCCCGGCCGCGTGCGGCGGGGGGGGGGGCACAGGCGCACCGCGCGTGCGCCGGGTCGCGACCGTCACCGGGGCCGCGGGGCAGCTGCGGCCACCAGGGAAGGGAAGGGAAGGGAAGGGAAGGGAAGGGAAGGGAAGGGAAGGGAAGGGAAGGGAAGGGAAGGGAAGGGAAGGACCTCAGCCCGGGATTCATCCCGCAGCACGGGACCGCCAGGACCTGGAATAACACAGCGCCGGGACACCTGGGAAATGTCACAGCAAGCAGCTGCCTCGCTCTCTTCCACAGAACTACAGAATATCTTGAGTTGGAAGGGACCCACAAGAATTATCAAAAGTCCTGCACAGAACCCCCTCCAAAATCCCACCCTGTGCCCGAGAGCGTTGTCCAAATGCCAAATGCTCGTTGAGCCCTGGCAGCTTTGGGACCGTGGCCACTTGAACATGGAATGGGGCTACCCAAAAGGCATCTGATCCTTTTTGATAAACCTGAATTGCTTTTGCTCCTTTCTGATCAACCAAGTGGTGGTGAGCCACGTGAAGAGCTCAATCCACACCTGCACAGAGCACAGGCAGCAGCTTGGTTACAAGCAGAGATCCACTACAAAAGGCAGCCTTGAGCATCTCCATCCTCATTTTGCTAAGTGAGAAGACAAGAAGCACAAAACACATCCACAAAAAGCTTTGCATTAAACCCCTGGAGCTTCCAGAATCAGCATCCAGAGCTGTGGTCTTGTAAGAAGAGTTAAAACCTGCCAACCCTTCCCAAAAGGAACATGAATGTACCTACACAAAGGTAGTTTTCCTCCAGGTGAGGCAGCTGTGCCTTGTACAAACACACTGAATTCGTGACATAACGACGGAAGCAGAGGGACTTTGGAACTCGGGAGCAAGTACAAAGCATTTACTCCATCAGTTCCTCTCCAGGGAAACACTCTGTGCAGCAGTGGCAGTAGAGACTGCAGGATGTTTCCATTTAGACCAGCAAGAACGGATCTGTTCCCACCTCCGCCAAGGGAATGCACTTTACAAGCACTCCGAACACCAGCATATTTCCAAATCCCTTCAAACAAAAAAGTAACATGGAAGTTGTGCATCCTTTGGTATAATATCTGCATAAGGAATACAATCAGCAGCGCTGAACCCCTAGGGTGGGCTGATGGTTGCAGTTAAGGGGAGTTTTCTGCCAGGTTCCTTATCCAGATGTACAAAGACATAAGAAAATGAAACATATTCCCCTGGCACTACATTTTCCCTAATGATATATTCTGGGAAGAAGCATTTGGACCAAGTATCTGCTATTGCTGTGCCACACAGTTATTCTTTAATTTAAAAAATATTCAGAGGAAAACATTAAATTAAATTACAATTCACTTTATTGTTGATGTTTTTGTGGTTTTTTTAAAAGTCATTATAAGGATGAGTGATCCAAACTGAGAATTTTTTTTAACTTTTTTTTTGTTTCACATTTTCCTATCTGAAAAAGACTAGAAGGGGCCAAGGAATTCCTGGAGAACTATCAAGCATGAATTTTATCACAGGAGGTAAGTAAAGAGTATTTGTTTACAAGACTGATATCACAGGACTAGATGAATTTCTCTAAGAGAAACACTAGGGAAGTGATGAGTAGCTTGGAAACACTTCAGCTGAGAGGGTTTTTTCTCCCTACAACAATCATGTCTTAATTGTAGTTTCCTCTTGAGCTGAAGAAAACCTTAATTTGTAGCTGCCGTTTAAACATTTGGTACATTCCCCAAATTCCTCCTGAACAGACCAAAGCAGGCAGGATGGCAGCCAAAGATCTGGTCCATGAGGTGAAATTCTAAATGCTGGGTAGAGCTTCAGATTTCCATTAAGGCCACAGAAACAATTTATCTGTTGTTGAAGGACATCAGATCTCAACACTGAACCAAACAAAATGCTTTAAAGCCATCCCAGGGCACATTTTTCTTCTCCAAAAGGTTTTCAAGAGAGCAGTTCAAGCCTGTAAGAAACTGAAGCTGTTCACTTAAAATTCCTGAAGTTTAACTAAATGTTACAGCTAAGTCGAATGAAATACATATTCAACTTTATACTGATACCTTTATTGTGGCAAAGGAAATTGTATTTATTTTAAGAGTTTGCTATTCAGTGAGGTCTTTGCTTTGTATGGCTTTACTTTTAGACAGCCAAAGTGATGTTTTATTTCTGACCTTGCAAATACAGATTTTCAATTTTCTTATGTTTTGCATGAGTCAAGAGAGCTTCCAAGAGGTCATTTGTGTGTACTGCTCATCATGAGGGCTGCTAGGAATAATGCATGTTTCATTTGTGAACAAGTGCAACAGCCACTTAAGAGGCCTAGGCAGGAAGTGCCCAGAACACCTGACTAATCTGGGCCTTAGATAAATACTCAGTTTATGAGCAGATGGTCTTTAACAGAAATCTTGGTCCTCCCCAGGGCTGCACATATTCCTGGGGCAAAGCACTTGGGGAAACCAATGGACAACACTGGAGCAGTCAGAGGTACATCACTGCAGCAAAGCAATGAAAAGATCAACAATGTATGTGGAAACCAGGAAAGATGTAAGGACAGGTTAAAAAAAGAGGATCAACTGGGAGAAATCACATAGAAAATACATGGGTTGGCACTTCATTGCAGCAGCTGGAACTGGAGGCACAGATTTAGGTCAGTGTGGAATTCTCTGCTGCACCACACGTTGCACCTCTCTTATTTTCTCACTGGGGCTGCTGGACTTTGATAAATAAAGCTTCTGGAGGGCAGAAGGACTGGTGACATCGTGCCAGAGACTCACTCCCTCTTTTCCAAGTGATGAGGGTGGCCTAAAGCCTGTCCCAACACCTGCTGCTGGAGCAGCTCCCTCACCAGCTCCTGACCAGTGCTGGCTGCAGAAGCTGGTGCCAGCCCCAGACTTGCGTGGCCTCTGGTGGATTGTGGAGATCCACGGTGGAGCTGCTGCACCTGCCCCAGGGCTTGTTCCTTCCCCCTGGAGAAGCTCTCTCGCTGCTGCTGTCCCACCACGTGTGCGTCAGCGCTGGCAGAAGTAAATCCTTGAAGGTTCCCCAAAGGAAAGGAATTATTTATCCCTGACTGACACTCCTGGCAAGCACCTTGCTGCCCGAGCAGGGCAGTGTGTGTGCTCACTCTGCCTCTGCTGCTGGAGCACTCTTAGGTGGGATTCATTTACTCCTCAGTGAACCAGAAAGATGTTGGCAGAATAACTGATTTGATAGCTCAGTGATTCTGTCACGCTCTTGCTATGCAGGAGACCAAAGGTTCTCTCTGGCCTAAAAAAGCATCACTCCTGACAGGCTGGGAGGCATTGCTGGCCACTTAACTCCTGCCTCTGGAAGCACCACAGGGAGAAAGAAATGAAAAATTAATGCCTTATTTTTTATCTTCCTGTGCGGGGCAAGGACAAAAATACAGGCTTGAGCAAAACAGATGTTTTCATTTGTTGGGACTGGAAAGAAACAAGGAATGCTCTGATAGGATTTAAGCTTTGTCTCAGAATTTTAAAGAATATATTTTTCTTCTCTTTTTTTTTATTTGAAGTATTCTTGATTAAGAATATGCCTTTAAAATAAAGCTTTTGAAGAGAGTGATTTCTTTTTAATGCACTTGTTCTGGTTATTTTGAGCTGAGTAATTTTTAATGAATTCTTAGCAAACAAAATATCCCATTGTTTACATAGTTCTTTTTACAAGCAATTAGAGTCAGTAACACTCCATGAATAAGACCTTTTGCCACTGGCTTTCCTGACATGGATCTGAAATATAAACATTACTAAAAAGATATTTCAACCTGTGAATTAAATGTTTCCTGGGGCTTGGAGCAACCTGGTCTATGGAAGGTGTCCCTGCCCATGGCAGGGGTTTGGAATGAGATGAGTTTTGAGATCCCTTCCAACCCAAACCATTCTGTGATTCCATGATTCTATGATTTCTGGAAGTTTGAGCACTGGTCTTTAACCCTGTGTGACTGGCTGACTCAGAAAGGATGAATGGCTCCCCTTCCAGGGTTCCCAGGGGTTTGTTACTTCTGGTTCAGTGGTGATAGACTGGTAAATATGTGCATTTCTCTGGCCTTGTTTTAATATTACCTTGCCACCTAAACCCAAGAGAAAGATATGCATGTGGAAAAGCTGGCTGTGACAGCCTCAGTATCATCAAGGTGAGGAACTAAGTGTGATCTTGGCTGACAAACTCCACAGAGGCTGCCAGGGCTGCAAGGGAAGCAGGAAACAGAGGAGCCCACATTGGCATGCCAGCACTGAAATTGTGCCGAGTCTTCCTTCTGAATGCTTTTGGTGAGTGCTTTGTAAACATTTCCAGGCATTTCCTTAAAAAAAAAAAAAAAGGGAGAGGTGACTCCAAGCAATTTGATCTACCACACGTTTTAGATTTGGAGCATCCTTTCAATGAAGGAAGTTGAAGAAGGAAATTGATAATAACACCCCCTGCTTCCCATCCACAGGCATTCCCAGCACTGGAGATGGAAAGGCTTTCCAAGGGGAAGGAGCAGTAACAGTTAACCAGAACTGATAAAGAGGCAGGCTGGAATTTTATAAGGGAAATAAGTCAGTGTTGAGGTTTTAGAAGTAGGGGAACATGGTCGGGGTGTGAGAAAAGGGGAATATTTTAATGACAAAAGTTTGGACAGACTGAATTGAAGACAAAAGATTTGCTCAGAAAAGGGGAAGATCTTAAAGAACCCAGTGTATATGAGATACTTTTGACTGGAAA